CTGGACTATGGCCGCAGCGACTGAGTACTGTTTGGGACTCTTTCTTGCCTAACCAGGAAACTGCGGTCGGCCGGGCTTATAGTGGTAGCATCGAACACGTCGGTTAGCTTCCATTTGAAGCTTAGGCACCAGTATTGTACACTCTTCGACGGAGCGAGGATTGCTTTCTCACCCTAGGCTGCCATCGTACAGAGTGGTAGTAACAGAAAGTCTACATATAAATTTGGCGTCCAGCCTTAGCGTTATTCCCGGCGGCTGCCTGATGGTTTCGATCTAGGACAGGGATTGGGTTGCCTTTCTAAGTTGGATCGCAACGTAAATGGAATAACTTTTGCCTCGGGTCAAGTGACCCTCTACGATGACTACAGGTCTTACTTTGATCGTTAGCTAAACTAAAACGTTGCTACCCAAAGATCACTTGTAATTTATTAAACCACCTTATCATTGTGATTATGGTACCCTCCTAAGTACAGCTCTGTTGTGAGGGCTACTTTGTACTTAGGAAAGCACTTGGGTCCGTTCGCATCGTGTTGAAAAACATGCTTTTAAAAATGGTAAAAACCTAAGGTTGGATAAAGTTCATAGGCAGGTGAAATCTTCCCTGTAAACCTATAACCAAACATAATGGTCACTAACATGCCTTGTGCTTGATCTTCCGTGTTCATTGATTGGAGTGGCTTGGGTAAATGTTTGAATTTATAGCTTAAAATCAAAGTAACACACAAAGAGATAGCATCTCTTTTACTTTATTTCTAAGCTTCGCTTTGGGTACAAACACTGCCTTCAAAGCAATTTTAAATCTAATTTGCCTAGGAAGATCTCTAGAACACTTGAAACACATGAATGAATTCTGGATAGTATAGCTAAGTTCTATAAAAAACCACATGTCGTCGGAGCAAGTAAGGCCCACTGACTGCCACGCATGTAATATCTATAGGATGAGTGATGATAGATAGCTCTTTTTCAAATCTAGAACCATGTAAAATAACTAAAGTTGTAAAGAAATGAGCTAACTGCTCTGATTGAACCAATGTTAGTAAGCTACACTCATTCGGATGGCCTCTGGCAGTTCGGATCTGGGTAGATTACTAAAAGAGTGCTATCTACAAGAAATATATATATGCTGACCATCCCGCGTGTCTTGCGTCTCTTTTTATATTATCTTGGTTCTGGCTTTAACCTCTTATTTTTTAAATTTCATTAATAGTTTTATTGGCTAATTCTTTTTCTTTTTCATATAATTTTTTGTTTGTAATAAGTTTACTTAATAGCCTATTATACATGTTTATTATTCTTTTGCTCTTTAATATCTTTATAGAATCCGAGTAAGGTATTTTATGTATATATAACTTTGCACGAGAAGCACTCACGCTCCGATTCTAACCAAAAGGAGCGTTAGTGAAATTAGTGACTCTAGTCAGAAGTTGTTTTCTGTTTCCTGCAAAGTATGAATTTTTTTTAAAATTTCAATCCTAAACTCAAATTCTTCTAAATAGCATATAAACCTCCTAACTTAGAAAACTAAAAAATAAGTTAATAGTTTTTTTTAATCATTATTTTTTTCAATGCTTTTTTTATTTGTTGTACTTCACTGCTTGGTCTTGCCCATCTTTAAAATAAATTATAAGTCCTTTGACCGATGCAAATGTACTTGAAATTCTTGAGTTTTACTGTTATTGACTAGCTTTTTTAAAAAAATTATGTTTTCAGCAATTAAAGTCTAAAAGGTATTATTTTAAATAAAATACATATTTCAGATGTAATAAAGGTTTAAAATTTTTTAAGTTCACGGAGAAAGGCTGTTAGCTTTACAAGAGTGTAAAGCGAGCTAATAAATCAAATTTATAAGGATCCACAGTAAAGACTAATTAAAAATCTTTGTTTATTAACGTAGTTATACTTGAAATACGTTACTATAACAATTTCATATTTCAGACTTTAGCATAACTTTGGCAGGTCCACGATCTTTATAGCATTCCTTTTAATAATATTTGTTAATCCAAAGAAAAGTGTCAGTACCCCAAAGAAATTTGTCCAAGTACCTTATAGCAAAGATGAAGAAATCAGAAAAAGCAAAGTTATCATATATAACTTATAGGAATAAGCAATATAACAGTAACAATATACCTAAAAAATATGTTTGAATTAATGAAAATAAAAAGTTTACGCTTATTAAAGACTTAAACCTAATATTATATTCTATGTAACAAAAATCAAAAGGCAAACAATTTTCAATACTTAAAAAATATAAAGGGGAAAATAAGGGTAAAAGTGATGGTATTTATAAAATTTTAAAAAATAGACTATTAAAACGTAGAGACCGAAAGACAATTTTTATAAAAAAATTTAAATTGTTGGAGTCCATATTAAACATTTATTAAGAATTACTATTTTTAAGATAACTAAGATAGATATAGAAAATGGTAGAACATGCTAATTCACAAATAAAAATTTTAGACAGACTACTCTAGCGCTAATAGTGGAGGAAGCCCAGGCTGCAACCGTAGTCTATTAATTACTCTAAAATCGTATATCCATAGAAAAAATATGATAGAAAATAATCTTATTTTTTTATAGAGAAAAGCGTAAATGTAAAATAAAACTTTTTCTACAACAAAGTAACTTACAATATATTATTTTAAAACTTTGCAGTGGTTTTTAATGAGTCTTCATAATTATCAATATATATACAAAGATATAATATTAATAAAATGAACAACCAAATATAATATTGTATAAAGCGTAGATGAAAAGGCCAACGTCCAGAAATAGAAGCTAAAAGAAAACATGTTGAAGATGGAAAAAAAAGCAAGCAAATCTAAAGACATATAGTATTTAATAGAAAGAGATATCAAATATTTTTCACACATTTTAAAAATGTTTTAAAAGTGTATTATACGATTCATACTTTAAAAAAAAATTGAACTTATTATTATATACGAATTTTTAATAACTGATTATTTTATGTTAATAATTTAATTATTTTGATATTTTTCCTAATAAATGTATTGTTGCAACTTTAATAGAAGTTATGAAAAGGATACTTCATATCAACTTTTACTAATTTCTAGTACCCAATTCTTAAATTATAAAGAATTATAGAATAACATATATTATATTAAATAATAAAAATAACTAATGAATTTTACTACTAGTTGAAGGAGGCGTCGAGTTATACTTTCTGAAAATATAAAACAAGAAGTTTTATTGATATTGATATTCCCAACTAAAAGCTCAATACCATCCTATAATAATAAAGTAGTAGTAATAATAATTATAAAAGGTTTTTAGTTCGTTATCGTCCATTTATCTGATAAATATGCGACGGGTGACCCCTAATCTTTCTTTAAAGTTTAAAAGTATTCATTTTCCTTTTAATATGCCACGAGACATATTTATCTTTGCTTTATAAAGATATCATTAAACCCACGTGAGTTGCAGCCTGATCTTGCTAAAGACGAAAAAGACGTCCATTGTACATATAGCACAAGTTAAAAGAATTAAAAAATAAAATAATGGGTTAAATAAATAACAGGAGGTTAGGATAAATCCTATATGAGAATGGTATTGAAAAGAGGTGAATCCTGTATAAGATTAATATTGTTATAGCGATACAAAAAGTTGCTGTAGGAGAAGAGAATGGGGATGCAAGTAATGCGGGTCACGAGTTACCATACAAGGTGTGCTACAATCAAATTGTAAATGTTTTTTGTGCCCCATTAAATAGAAAAATTTGTTTTATAGAGTCATCAGAGCTCCAAATGGGTGTACAAAGTTTAGAAGGCTGTATACGGGTTTGAGGGTGACCCGCGTGAAAAAAGTGCTTCTTGCTTTTTAGTAAATCACGTAATATATATACATTTGCATTTTGAAGAGTTAAGAAAGGAAAGCGTCTCAGCAAAGAAGAATCAAAATTTATAAAGGATCCGCAGCAATACTTTTATAAAAGGGCACAAGGTAAAATTTCATTTTGTTAAGCTAAAAACGCAAATTAGACGGGAAAAGCGCAGCGCTATACGTTTCGGTGCGATAAGATTTCTCAACACTGTATATTAAGCTAAATTTTGTTACAGGCTCGCGATAATTTTAGAAGAAAATGACAAATTTAACTATAAACCCCGTAACAAGAGCAAATAATAGTATTGATAATAGTAATTATAATGATAATGATAATAATGACAACAATGATAATAATAATAATGCCTGTCTGTATCCATCGCAAAAATTGTTAAGATAGTATCTAAGCAAAGAGTGAAAAGCGTCATAGAAGAATCCCTTTAATGTTCTATGTCCTTTTCTGTATATAACAAATAAATATAATTCGCTATTTTACCTCGTTAACTTTATAAAATAATAAATTAACAACAAAACGAAATTTTAAAGCACCAACAATTTCCTTATATCTCGTTAAAATCCATAACGAGTTAAAGAAAACTGATTTTTTTACTATAATTTTTTTTTGTTATATAAAAAGAACGGATCAATGTTCAATTTAAAAACCGAGTCACTTCTGTTTTCAAAGCGGCTGTTCCTGCGTAGAGTACAGACAGCAGATCAGCGTTGTCTGCCCACACTAGTAAAGTAGCTTTGTTATTCTTTTCTTTCTAACTGAAACACATTGATACTAGAGTAAAGCGTTTGGGAAATGTATTCTTGTATATGCTCATATTCTTTACAAATCCCCAAGTCTTGCAACTAAAATAACAAACAATAAAGAAAATAATAATTTTTAATATTAATAATAACAGTATTATACTTGCATCTGTAAAATATATTCAGCAATTTTACATTGGATTACGTTTGTTCTATCCAAGCAGTCTAAACAATTCGTACGGAATACTCTAAATCAAAACAACATACTAATATATAAATTTATTCTTAAAAATAGAAAACCCCTTTTGATAACGTTGAAAGGAAGACAACAAGTGATAAACGGTATATCTTGAAAATTATTATTATTATAATTATTATTATTATAATAGTTGGTACCCTTGTTGAGCACAGATTTCAGAAATCGAAGCAAATAAAAATTTAAATTTTTTAAGCTCTCGTTCAGGTTGGCTATGATAGTCATATGACAAGTATCTAATAAAAATAACATTTATAAAAGAGGAATAAAGGAAACTAAAAGTAATTAAAAAACTACGTAGTAAATTAAGTTTGGTAGATAAATAAGCATAACTTCTTCGGCACGGAAGCACACATGTATTACAAAATATTAATAAAATATAACAGGTACACGAAAACAAAGACATTCCATAATGTATGTTAGATGAGAAAAAAATTTTTCTTTTAAACAATAACGAATTAGAATAACAAGTTTTACCTGATATCTTCCGAATTTAGTCGCAAAACGTGCCTTTCGTAAGCTGCACTCAATAACTCTTCCGAGCCTTTTCTGTCTGTAAGACAAAATTATGCTAATAACTCTGACGGTTTCTTTAAAGTGAGTATATAATGATACCGAGTAAATCAATTAGAAAAAGAGGGCCGTATAACCTTAGCTGTTCTGAGAGATGCGCGTTTATTACTGGTTCCTAAGTAACAATTAGCATTGAAAACCATAATAAGCATTAAAAATTAGATGATTACTAATAAACCAATCATTGTTTTTATATTCGAGTTATAAAAGCTAAGGAATGGATAATGTCATAACCTGGTCGTGTTCCAAAAATTGGACGGATGGCTTGTACGATAAGTTACTTTGTTGGGACCTCGTAAATATAAAAGAAAAAAAAGCGGCTATAATTAAATGAGTTTTCTATAAAAAAAAAAGAAGTAAACAACGTTACAAAAATAGTCATCCGTAATATTTCAGAGTGAACTAGTAACACTACAATTCCACAAAAATACTGATAATTTAAGCAAAATCCCCCCTTCCCCACCCGCTGTAATTCTTATAAACTTGCCTACTGAACGAATTTTACCAATTACTGGCTAACCTCGCCATAACTGCCCGCTTACACGCCATTGACATTGCAGATTAACCCACTGGCTAACGTACGACAAAAGCATTAAAATTATCTTAATATTAAAATAACACCAATGCTATCACTAAATTTAGTACGTAACACGCTCTCCTTCTCATTTCTTGCATCAGTACAAGTAACTTTCGTGAAATTACCTTTCGTAAATATTACTTCTGTGAATATATTTTTGATTATCATTTTTAAAAAAATTTTGTCGTTTACTTAACGCTACATAAATGACAACACAAGAAATAACCATTTTAAAGGGACGGAACCGCGGGTCTGGACAAATGATGCGACAACATCCTCAACTAATAAGAGTTGCTCAAGTTCTACAAAATTGGCTGCTTTTCCACACTCATCAGCTCCCCTTTTGTTATAACGGGTACCTAAAAGTTTTTTATTATCACCATAGCAGTAATAATGATCAGTTCGAGTAAGTAACCTGCTCGATATTTGGAGCAGCGGCTTATTAATAGTAAATCAAAAAGGATGGACCCATGTTGTACGGTTCTTTTCAGAACAGCTTTTAGAAAACAGTAAATAAAAAACGATGTTTTTTTAAAATATAATTAACAGACGCAAAATAATAATAACTGTGAGATATTTAATAATGATAAGGACTTCTTTAGTTTCGCGTTTTAAATAAAGTAAAAGCAAAAATTACAAAAATAATTTATTATTAATGTAAAAGTTCCGATAACTAGGCTCTTTTTCGTTACTGTATATACAAAAAGAGAATTTAACCTCCACGAATAACGGGAATTACAAACTGTTTATAATTTAGTTGGGCAAGCCATATTTTCGAATCAAGCAAATTCCAGAAAAAACGTGGATCGGGCTGACATGATATTAAAATAGTTTTAAAAAATAAATATAGCTCTATGCAAAGGAGTAAAAGTGGCTTAATTAAAAAAACATGTTTCCATTATATATATATACTGGCACAAAGTATACTTTATAAGAGTGATTTTTATAAAAAATTAAATTGAAAATTCTTAAAAAAGTACTATATTGTAAAACCATAACTGGCTGTTTACTAATAGTTTTCCATGCTTCCTAAACAAATAGTTAAAGTGGTTTGTTTATAAAAAGTATATATATCTAGCAAAAAAATATCAAGTAACTACAATCTTCAAGGTATATCCTAAAACAAAGTTTATATAAATTTATATTGCAGATGTAAGCAATAAAAACTGCTCACTTTGAAAAATCCGGAAAAATATAACCTAAATTGTAACTTTTCTAAATGTAAAGTTGTTGATATTACCGATATGCTTTCAGAAGAATATGGAAGAAACGGAGCTTCGATGTTCTGCAAACTAAAAACAATTCTTATAAATATACGAAATCATAACAACGAAAGCATGCAATGTTACTGTTTATAAAAATCGTTAGGACTAAACACAAATGAAATAATATTAAAAGGTGCTGGTTAACATTGATATAATAACAATGAGCTTGTATTGGATAGCTCAGCTACTGTCATACACAAATTTAATGGTCTCAGCTTCTTTAGCAATAAGTTTATCGTAAATAAACATTTCAAATATTAAACAGAGAAAGCATCATACGTGGTTAAGGGAGAAAAAAAAATTTTATATTTTATAGATTTTAAATATATAATATGATATCTAATTTAGTTATAGCATTCTCAAGTATAGAAATTATACATATAAAATAATAATTTACTGATACCATTCCTATACACTACACACAAAAAAAGATATACCGCGTGGTGAGATCGTACGTGTAACTGAAGTAGAAACTACGGGGCACGTCTAGAACTTGTTTCAGTCGATGGAGAAAAGGAGCATCTTTACCTTTAGACTATTCTAGTTAATAAGCTATCCCCGTAATAAACAGAAATGTAAAAGTTATTTCGTTTGTAATAAAAATATAATTAATTAACACATGACGATTGATGAATTTATAATAGTGTTTTAAAATTCATGAAGCGATAGAGAGTTGAATAAAATAAAAGGGCTTTAAGTAAAAGCCTCTTAATAATAGTAATCATCATAAATGTAGTAATATAACAAACATATACTTTCTTACAAGCAGATTGCCCAAAACAAAGATTTCTAATCTTTTCATTATAATGAGATCACTTTTATAAGTTAGGAAAAGAACTTTTATAAACATAAATTTATAATCAAGTTATTTAAATCCTTTAGTTACCAAAAACCGAATCTTAATAAAATTAAGCAATAGTAAATAAAAAAAAATGTTAAAGTAAGAAGAAATAAATTAAAAAATAATAAAAGTTTCACGCATGGTTTTATATAAGCGCCTATAAAAGTTTTTTAACTAAACCGTTTTAAAAAGCCTGAGCTTGGCTTCTCGTGATTAATAACAATTATACTTTATTACTTCAATAATAAAAACAATTATGTTGAGATGATAACGTTTTAAAAAATAATTTAACTTAGTTACAAATACTAATTAATATTATATTTATATTGAAATACTTATATGCATGTTATAGATAACAACATAAGAGTAAATAATTAATGTGAAAACTTTATTTGCACAACTTGTTCAGAAAGTAATTTTATATGAAAATTGGGAGCTAAACACTTGTAAAGCTACTTAATAAATAAATTACTAAAAAAAAAAATTAAAAAAAAGCTATGCTTCATTTCAAATATATTTTTATAAATATATTCAAGAAATTCATTTAGTGACAAAGAATATACCTTTTATATATAAATTTTCAAATTTTTTCAATATATAATAATATTTATTCTTATAAGATTTACAACCTTAAATGTATATTAATTTTTTTTATATTATATTTTTATCTAGTGTATTGTATTATGAATTTTTATTTATTTATTATCTTGGTATATATATTTTTCATATTTATTCAATATATTAATGTCTTATTATTTACTATTTTAAATTTTTATTTTTATTAAATTACAAAAATTATTTTTAATAATATTATTTTTAGTTGGTATATCATGGTGTCGTAACTTTTTTAATATAATATTTCTAGAATATATTTTTTATTTGTTTTTATTTAGTTTTTATTATTATAAAAGTATTTTATTAATTTAATATTTTTATTAATCTCTTTTTGTTTGAGCTTATTAACTCGTTTATTATTAAAATTACTTTTTGTATAATAAATTATTTATATATATTAAACTTTTTTGTTTCTTATTTTTTTACAGTCATTAATATTTTAATAATTATTCTTTTATATTATTTTCTATAATACTTTTTTTCCTTAATTTCAAATTATTAATTTTATTTTTATTATGTGTATACTATTATTTTTATTTTATTTTAGATATATTTATTATATAAATAAAAATTTTTTTCTACTTTGGTAAGTATTATTAAAAAAAACATTATTGAAAAGTTTAGGTGTGTGTAAAACTAAGATAATAAAATATGGTTCACACATAGTATAATATTAATTCTATTTAAGATGCTTATTTCGTGAGTTTTAAAAATTTCCAGTAAAATTAAAATATAATAACAAATATAACAGAATAAAATTTTAATCTCTAAAGGTTAAAAAGCAAAAGTTTGAAAAAGTTAAAAAAGTTTATTACAAAGTTAGAGTTTCCTGAAAGCGACAAAACTTTAAAGCGTTCACAGCAAAAAATTTTATGCCCAGCAATAAAGCCAACCAAATCTCTTTTTTCAATAATAATCAAGTAGAAATCTAATTCGAGTTTTTATGCAATAATTAGTAAAGCCTACTTATTAGTTTTTTATTTAAGTAACAGGTATCTAAAGTAATTATTAAAAGAAATTTTAAGTTTATAAAAGATATATTATAATTTTAAAAAAACCTTAGCATAGAAGTGAGAAAATAAATCAGTATAAACACAAAGTTGATACAAAGACCTTCGAATAATTCTAAATAGCCATAAATTCCATAGATGATAGAAGGGGAACAGTAAGGGGGTGGAAATAGGCGGGAAGTTTCTACCAATTGTTTACATAAGTATTATTACTTAATTAACATATTCTTTTACTAAAAAAATACGAATTAATTTTAAGTTTCCCGTGTCTCGATGGATAACTAAACATTCAGATAAAAACGAGGTAAACGTGAAGGGCAAAAAGTAGAAGGCTTTTTTTGTGATATACCTGAAAAATTTATGTTAATTTATTTTTAAAAAATAAAATATTATTAGATATATTAACCTGACTTCATAATAACTTAATTTAATTATTGAAGTAAAAGCAGTGTATAAAGCATAATTTATTATATAATACTCACATAAAATAGCCGTCTAAAACACTTTTTTGGTTTGTTACATTCATCGCTTTCAATTTATTTCAATAAGATTTTAATTTTAATAAAATTTAATGAACTACCTCCCTAAGCTCTTGTTAAATACGCTTAAGCATAAACCTTCTATACCTAAACCGACGCGGTACGATAGCCCAATAGAGGCCGACATTTCACCTGAATAATTGGGTGGGTTGTCGTCTCATTCGAGTGGAAACACTTAAGAAGGAAAAGAGGACCTTTTCTGTTCTGTCCAACTCTACTAAAAATCTTTTGGAAATAAGCAGTTGGCGTAAGTTTTTTTTTCTTCCCATGGTGCAAAAAAAAACACAACTTAAAATGTCCTTTTTATTAAGAATTTGTGAGGGCTATGTTTAATACGTAACCATCAGAGGCCGAAAAAGAGTCGCCTTTGATTTTGCGCATCAATGCTCTTAATCACTAAGCTACGGCGATAGATCTCAATCTCAGAATGACAGATTCACATATTTGACCTGTTACATTCGGTGCTTCTTATACAAAGAAGATATTAACCTCCCCTATCGCGCAGTATAACCTTTAAACTGCAAGTACAAATGACGGGCTAACATTATGTTTAGGTTAATTGGCAAAAATTAAAATGTAAATAGGGTTGTAGTATATTGGTTTGCTTTAACGAGGACTTTAGTTAAAACTTTACACGGTCTATTTTTTAGAGTGCAATGACCTTTTTCAACCTGTATAATTTGTGAAGTTTATTTTACTACGTACAATATTTAATTTTTTTTTTTAAATAAACACTTCTAATTGCAGGTTAATTGTAAAGCAACCGGCGAACTTTTGTATTTAGTGTTAATCTTTGCTGTAATTTTCGCTTTCCTGTTTAATATTTAATTAAAACTGCACATCTCCTATTGATAAACTTGAACAGCAATATTCCTTGGATAAGTTTCTGTTAGACTTTTACATCTTATTTGAGCTTTTTCTTGGGTGGCCTGAGTTATTTAAATTTATGGTGAAAGTAAATATATAATAATTAACTTTCAATAATTACACTTTTTTTTCATTTAACGTTTACAAAATTGCATATTAAAAGTTCTATTAGAAAGTAGATTCGAGCATTAAAGAGCACATATACTACACCATTCAAAGTAGACTAGTTAGATAATGTGACGCTGGTTTCACCATTTAATAACATTTGGCATATAAGTCCTACTGTCGTGCAACTACCAGTTATTGGATGTAGTAAGTTATAAAAACATTTACATTTTCATATCCCACGTCCATATTATCGGTGTACATTTAAATTACTTCTTGCTTGTACTTGAAGTGATTATTAAGTGATATTTCATAAATAAACGTTTTCTTAATATAATGATTACAAACACTTATGATCAGTAAAAAGTCATCAGCAAGGAGAGGAAAGTATAATAAGTACTAAATAATAATAAAACATTTAAAGGCCGATAGAAAGAAAATATGTTTGCTACTATCTTGAGTACGAGTAATACAAAAAAAAAATAATATTCCCTGCCTAGAAATATTTGTTTGTAGTAACTTTATTTGAGCTGAATCGAGCCGGCAAACTTAGAATAAATTTTTTTTTTGGTTTCTTTCATCACATGGTAGTTGCGGACCCACTCTCATAACAATCAGACTTCTGAAAAGAACGAGCTTAAGTGTCTTTAGTCGGAAATGTATCTATTTAGTTTACTTTTCATATAAAAATATAGGTGCTGATAAAGTTAGCCTAATTATATATAATTGTAAGAGATAAAACGTGCATAGAAGAACCACATTAGTAATATGAATTTCAAACTATGGGGATTGCGCCCTGTTTATACTTTATAAAATTAAATTTTATAATATTTTGTTAACAGCAGGGCAATAATATCGTACCGAAATTTCTTAAATAGACCGTAATTTTTGAATAAAAATTTGATACAGAGGAACAGATTATCTTTAGGCCCAAAAGCCTTGAGACTAAATCTAAAAAAGCTATAAAAAGGGTTTGATAGCTTTATTTTTTAACTATTTATATTAGTTGCAAGTTATAACTATAAAAATTACAATTTTTCATTCGATATTAAATAAAATATTAAAAATAGATGTACCTATAGAGTTAAACAAAATGGGTCATGAAGTTCCTCGTCTTATTTTCTTACAATATAGCATTCATCTTGCTTTATCAATTTTTAAAATTTTATAAACTCTTGATAAATTTATTTATTAGTATGGTTAACATCGCCGATAATTTAATCAAATTAAACTATATAAATGCGAAGCATTGCCTTTTATAGACATTGTTTTTTAGAAACAGGGTAGCTAGGCCCCCTAATGATAATTAGGTTATTTGGTCATAATGTTTATAACTATTAATAACAAATAGTAAAAAAATTTAAGTTCTTTTAAACTGTAAATATATTTAAGCTAACATCATACCTATAAACACTAGACTATAATTAGCTTCAATTATTAAACAGAAGTTACATTTTTATTTTATATTTACAAAATAAAATGTCTAAACAAACTATTTCACCAGAAGAGGTACAAACGCCACCTGGTGTTATAAAGTTGGAAGTTGATAATAGCATAAGTGCAAACACCTCAGAAATCGAGCTGGATTCTACTTCAACTGTACAGGACAAGACAGAACTAAAAAAAGGAAAAAACCCAAAATATTTTTTTCCTATTCCTGCATTGCAGGTATTGTATATGGTTACAACTCGACTTTATCCACTGCAAAATTCATTAAACGTGTAATACAACTTATAAATATGAACGAGTACGAACAATAGATCAAAGTATATCTTGCTTAATTAACTTAAAGGGCTAACATACTATTCTAAAAGATTATTGAAGAGAAAGCAGCAGAAGATAGGAAAGAAAAAGAGGGGCCAACTGAAAGCCCTAAGGAAGAATTGCAATCTTCCATTAAGGATGAAAAGACGGCACAAACGGTAGTACCAGTTCGACGTATTCCTAGCCTGCAGCAAAGCTTCGATGTCATTTCGTTTTTGCTTTTTAAACATCTCACCTCTTTATAGCGTTAACGTTACTATATAATTTCTAAAGAGTGCTGAAACTCCGATCTCAGAATTCGCTCGCTGTTCAGTGTTACAGCAAACATTGAGCTTTGCTGGTGAACAAATTAAGAGTAGAATCGAGGAGTTATTTCGAGAGTCCGAGTTGAATTTAGTAAGGAAGATAGAAGATCTTATTTCTGAAGCGCCCATTAAGGTTCCTAGTATTATTTTATTTTATTATTACTATAGTTACTCCTCTCGTTAATCATAGGTGTCTAAAATCAATAGTAGTAACAGGTTAACATCCACTAAAGGCGCTACTTTGTTGACTCCTTTTGATCCGGTTGCAGGCGTTGAACGTTATTTCTCGCAGACGAAACTATTGGTCCCTGGTGAACTTTTATGCTGTTGTTTTTCTAACGCTATGTGGATTCTTCAATATCCAATTCTTAGATTGGATGGGCGCAGAGAAGGGTAGAATTGAACAGCCGAAACATCTCTTAGCGATAACTTTTTTGCTGTCGTTACAAATAAGTAATTTTTTCATATATTTTATTGTATAAATAACTTTAAAATCACAAGGACACCTTTTACCTTTTTAAAACTTCGTTGTTGACTATTGTAACTATTATTGACTGTAAAAGTATCTTTTAGCACCTTTAGCGTAAAGGATATTAATTACCGGATATAGAAGTGTATAAAGTATACCAATAAGCTAACGTCAGTAGCAACTATGAATTGTTTGCTTGTGCGTATATTATATATTAACTAAATTTTATGTATATGCTTCAGGTGCCATAATCTTCACCCTTTTTTGCTTTATTAACGTGTTTTGTTGGTTTCTTTTTATACCGTACTTTATCTTCATCCTCTTTGACTTCGAAACTTCCCAAAATGGCGTTGGCCGTCGTTTTGAATTTTTAAGGAAATCTAAGCTTTTGAAATGGTTAAAACATTTATACGAAATTTATAAATATTTTCTTTATACAACCTTTCTCTTTAAATCGTTTATAAATTTAGAGATGTTCTAATTAGCAATATTAAAAGGTTTATAGAAGTTCAAACTATATTTTTGTTTCTTAATATCCTAGCTAAGTAGTAAATTAATTAACTAGTTTCCTTTTTTCAACAATTTCCTAGAAAAATTATTAGTTTTTATTTTCATACGTTTCAAAACTTTTTGTTTTCCTTTTTTTTGACTAATTGAATAAACTCTAATACCTCCTTTAGTAAGAGTTAAACTTTTGGCTTTTAACTTTAAGTTAACCTTTAATAAGGTCTGCGCAATATTTTCCTGTAAGGTTACACAAAACTAGCGAGTTACCCCCCACGAAGAAATATTTGTTTGCTTATCATCCTCATGGCATCCTTGGTTTATTTATATTTGTTACTATTAAAAATGAATATTATTATTAAATGATAAAAAAATTAAAATAATAATTTAAGAAAAGAATAGTACACTACTTTACGTTTTAAGTCTTGCAACTACTTAAGTAAAGAGTTATGTTTTTACTTAAACTTTTAAGCGATTCGTTGTGAATGTTAGGACTCGGGGCGGTCCTTTCCTTTGCTACTAGCGCTTGTGGTGTAGACAAGCTTTTTCCAGGTTTATACTGTTCTTTTTGCTTTTTTGGTTGTATTTGGTTAGTATTAGCCATTAATATTATATTAAGCCATACATTTATGCTTTACAGCTTTTTTGATATTATTATATATTTTATATATTGTGTAAATAAGCAATATTAATATGAGTTGTGTGCCAGGTCTCACTATATTTCCTTTAACCCTCAAGCTAAATTTCCTGATCCCCTTCTATAGAGACTTTTTGCTTGGTCTTGGTAAAACTTCAATTAATTTTTTATCTCCAACGCAGTCGTAGATTTATAATTATACAAACTTATAATTGATTAATTATGAACTAACTAAAGGTTCATTGTTCTTTGCAGGGTTGGCGAACGTCAGCAAAACGTCTATTAAAAATATTGTAATAACAGATCTATAAAGTTACTTACAAACTAAGTAGAAACAAATATAAGTTGTATTTATTTTTACAAATAAGCTTAAAGAAACATCGCCTGCGGGTCACTCGTGCTTAATAGTGGTTGGTGGGGCTGCTGAGTCCCTGGACGCCTCTCCGCGCACAATGGACTTGACTCTACTGAAAAGGAAAGGATTTATTCGAATGGCCATAATAAACGGGTTCTTCATCTCATCAAAACGTTAGACTTCTCTAAAGTTTTTTATGTCGTGTTTTTTACTGATAGTGCTTGCCTTGTGCCCGTCATTGGATTCGGTGAAAATGACTTGTGGAGCCAAGCCAGGAATCCACGCGGGTCACTATTGAGAAGTGTTCAGCAAAGTATAACAAAACATTGTGGTTGCTTTACTTTTTTACATTTCTTTTTATATTTGCAGATATTAAACAAATTTTAAATGAGGGCTTTAAAATTTTGGTGTCCTCTAACTTTCTAACTTTTTTAACATTCTGCTGTAAGTTTTCGTAGACAACAGCTCTTAAAAAAAATCGCGTCCATCAATATTAATTAAACTAATGAAAAAAAAACCTTAAAGAAATTTAAGTTCATTAAATAAATTTTTATTTTATTAAAAAAAATTGCGTAGAAATGCAAAAATCTGTGAATTATCTTTATGCTGTTTTTAAGTTGAAAATTTTCTGGTGAATAATAAGCTTTATCGTTTCATAATATATTTTCAAAGAATTATGCACTTTTACGACTTTAACTTTTATAGGTTTTACCGTTCCTTTATTTTATGGACGAGGACTTCTCAATCACAAGTTCGGCTTTTTGCCCCGTAAAGTACCCATCAATGTCGTCGGTCTCTATCATCAGTCAAATTTTTGCTTTAGTTGCAAATACAAAGCAAACTTCTCAATGATAGTATAATAGAAATAATCCTATAAACTTTAATGTCTCTTAATTTTCTAATAATATATAACTTTTCTTTCCTTTCTTATGGTATAAAAAAAGTTGGAAAACCCGTAGAATGCAAAAAAAATCCTTTTCCTTCAGAGGCGGTGGGTTTTTTTTAGTCAAATATATTTTATAAAACAGCGAGCTATAAAACATGATAATTATGGGATAATTTTCTGGCTCGTAGTAAAAGAATTTTTTTTAATAGGAACTGAATGAATGCCATTCGCGCTACGTAAAAGAACTGCAAGAATTATACGACCGATACAAAGAGGTTTATGACAGAGATAGGAAAAAAGATATGACCTTTGTAGAGTAAATAGTAGTTTATATTATGAAAGGAAACCTTAAGCGGAAGTCAACTTCTATTCATTCCCCGATCAGTTGTAATAAAAAAAAAAACGAAAACTTAAAAGAGCGCTTATTTTTATGCAGCAATGGTTTGGGCTCTTCTTGTACTAGACAAGTGAGGGAATTGCTGTATGACTATCCCTGCGTAACAGATAACTTTCTTAATATTAAACTACAAATGACTTCTGCTTAAAAGCTGTCAGAGTAACTTCCAAGTTTTCTTTCTTGCCATTAAGCCAAAGATGAGCTCCGCTAACCTAGTTCGACCCAATGGGAGGGCACCTCCTACCAATAACGCGTGAGATGAGAAAGTTGCACGAAACTTTGACGCATGGGAAACCATTACGAAGGCTCAAGCTCTAAATAAATTTTTATTGGCTGAGAAATATAATTTTCATATAAATAAATATTATCCTCATGATATTTCTCCCCGTCGCTCCTCCTATAGTGCCATTAAAAATAAAGGCGGACAAACGCATGTCATCCAAACAACTTTGGGGTTTTCTTGTTAATTAGTAGAAGACTTTTTTTTATGAACAAAATTCTTTCTTAAGGTCTTTTTTCTTTTTCTAAAAAGAGCTCGCGAGACATTGGAAACTTTATTGCGGGTTCTTAAAATAAAAGTCATGGACTCTGTTTAAATAAGAGGTGGTTCAACGTAGTTTAGACCTTTTGTTAAGGGCTGCAGGGTCAAAAGGAAGGTAAGCGTAGGGCTCAAATGCATTATCAGCTTTCACTTTCTATTTTTTTTTTTTAATAGCTATAATTGATAATAAAAGTACATAATAATTAACTTTTTGGGATTTTTTTGTACTCTTTTTCCTTTTTAAATCATTGTTTCCAAAGTCAGGTTTACCTGTTATAATAATCGTTAATATACGTGGAAACAACAATTCCTTATATATAGTATTATAAAAAGTAATAATTATTTATAGTTTATGCAACATTTATTTGTGCTTACATTCGAATTCCTTGTTCATCGCAAACTTAGTTAGTGAAGGCTCTTCATCGTCGCTATCGTCTAAAGTAAATTATAATATAAAATGTTTATCTCCTTAAATATGTTAAAAAAAAAAAAAGAACGTTTTTCATCTCCACTTTCGCACTCAGTAATGAACAACTTCCCGCTCTTTGTATAATGCTCCCACGTGATCGGCTCTTTAGCTTTATTCGTATCAACCGCTTATAATATATTGCAACTATATTACATACGTCCTTTTGTGCGCGTATCAAAAGCGACATACAAACAATATTATCAACTATGGTGGGATTAAGAAAGTCCATAGTGCTGTTCTCATCCTCTTTGATCCAGAATCTCTTCTAAATAACAATAAACAATTACCAACAACAATCACAATATTAATAACCTGATTTGCATTGTTTTCATTGTATTTTAAAGTGGCCTCAGCCATTGCGGTTGGGTGGTTAATTTTCTGCAGACGCTTCTTCTTAACAGCTTTTTCACGATTTTTTTTAATAGAGACCAGCCACTTCTGATCTCTTTCGGGAACAAGTTTTTTAACAAACTCATAACTTAAAAAATATATATTAATATTAAAATCAATAATTCACTAAAAAGGAAAGAAATATTACCCAAACTTGCGTATGCAACGCTCTAAAATAACTTTTATTTTCATTCTAAAATGATACTTTACAGAAGACTCCCAATTCGTAATTGTTTCTATCTAAGTAAAATAAAGATATTAAGGTGATGATAATAGCGATGATAATTAATACTATAGGCTGGACATGAGGAAAAAAATTTTCAGCAGAAAGAGCCGTCAGTGCAACTTTCACAAAGCCAAGAGTAGCTTTCAGTATCTCTTGGCTAGCAATACGTATATAAAAATTATATGTAAATATGTAAAGGGAAGAAAATAATATTTAAATTTTTTAAGTAATACCTGGAACCGCGGAGCAGTTTGAAAACGGTGTTAACTAAGTCATTTATTTCCTTATCATGCAAAAAATCTACAAAACAAAGATATAAACGAGGTTGAGATATATGTATATTATATATTATTAAAGCTGATTATATAAAATATTTATCATACTCGAAAACTCGTATAGTAAAGTCCCTAATGAGGCAACTGTAGCGCTTATAAGGTGAGGAGTCTGTCCCGCCAAATGGCTTAACACCATCCGAAAAAATTCATGTAAACTGACTATTGCTAATGAAGATAATGAATATCATTAGAAAAAATAATGACTGCTTATTATCTTTTTCTAAAAATGTTATATAATAATAAATAAAGAAATCTCTAAAGCGATGCCTGTGGAGCCATTCAATCTCTTGTAAGATTCATCGCTATTGTTTGATAAAAACCGTTTCCCAATAGTAATCAAGAGCTGCGCGCATAACAGAAAACGTTAACTTATTATAACTAGTAATGATGATGAAAATAATATATTAGTAATGTAAGAAGTCACCTGATAGCCAAGTTTACGCGTAGTCTCATTCACTTCTTTTACAGCGAGGATAGCCTCCAGAAGATCTCAAAAAAAATGTAAGTTGAAAAGGAAACGTATTAATAAATGTTTTATATTTCTTAAAATCTTTTTAAAAAATAATAAGTTACAATAATGTATCTTCGAAAGTTCGCTAGCCGGTAGATGAGGTATAAGTACAACCAAAAGGCGAAGACGAATTTTCTTGGCAGAGGCATGAACAACATCGCACGTGTCAATAAGTAATCCGCACAACTCCGGTAAGTGATCGCATAGAAATTCGTTATTGTCTTTTGATAAATAATAATTATTATAATAACAATAATAAAATGGTAGCAATATATAATAAAGCCTTCAGCGTTAATTTGACAGATCCTGCCGATTCCTGTGTACGCTAGTTTTTGAACGGTGCCGTCTTTGTCCTTGTGGTGAATATATTAAAAAATATAATAAAAACTCCAAAAAAACAACTTTTATATAAAAGACGGACAAAAAAACCAATAACTTTTTAAAAACCTTTAAAAGTTTAGTTATAATATTGTAGTATCTTAACAAATGCTTCTTATCAAGTTTAATACAGAGAGTACCAGATAAACCTAATGATACATATAGATATGACAAGCAAACACAAAAAATGATATAAGTAAGCAAACAAACTCAGAAGCGCATGAAGGCGTTTATTAACTTGCAGGTTCCTTTCAGAGGCAGTAACAATCGATAATATTTTGCTCATTAGCTGTAAGCCAAACGTGTTTATAACCTAAAAAATAAAGGTGCTGAAAACTATTATGCGATATCCATTAACTATAATATTCAGTACTTATACAAATCAATTATGCAGAAGATGTATACTTTTGTATCGGATATTGAAACCAGAGAAGTTACGGTCTTCAACAAAAAAGAAGCCCTCGAGGGCAAATACGCATTAAATAAAACGGCCAGTAAGTTGTAGGAGTATAGCTTCACTGTTTCCAAGGATTTTTTAGCGCGTTCCGCTTCGTCCTTGAACGTTATTATTATTAGTAAATATATAGTCATAACTAAAGCATTTTATTTATGATAAAAGTATGCAAAATATTCATAACAATTATAAGACCAGGGAGGAACTCTCAGAAGTGAGAACGCACTGAAAATGGCCGACCAATGCGTCCAGAGACTGGCAGATAATCACGTGCAACTCTTCATCGTTTTCAAGGCAACGGGAAAGTAGTTTGGCCATGTGATTGAACTCCTTAAAAAAAAAAGAGTTACTATTTAATTAATATAAAGAGTAATAAAATAAATATAGAAATAGTGAGATTTATTAATGGGATACACGATATTAGTGAACCGAAATGTATATAACGAAAAGTATATTACCGAAGGTACGTCGGTTGGAAGAGTAAAGAAACCCGGCAAAAGTGCCCAAAGTTGCTTATACAGACGGCGTTGGTATAGATAAGCAGAGTCATTCTGCGTAATGCGATAAAAAAAAAAAAGGTTACACAGTAAAAAGAATTATTAACTCGTAATAAGAACCCTAGCCTCCTGAAAATTATCACGTGCTTTCCTCACGTGTTCAATTAAAGGAAGAATATGATTCCGAAAGAAGCCAAGCTGGCACCGGCGGTTGGACCTGGCGCATAGCGGAAGTAGCCAACTTCTGTGTAGTTCGCCTTTAAAAGATACTTATTTATTTGAATATATAAAGGTTTACTTAATTAATTACATAAAGATTATAATAAATGTGTAAAAGTTATAATAAAAAAATGCAAAAATAAAAATTATATATGCAGCACGGAAAAAAGGCAAACGAAACCATTTTCGTTAAGTTCGAGGGGGAGAATCCCAAAGAGAGTAGATGCGCCGCAACAACTTATAAGTTTCCCAAACATCAAGCCATGCGCCTAAAAATACATAATTATTCTATTCCTGTCACATTTACTACACAACAAGTTTATAAAATTTCTTTCCAAAAGTTTAATGAAAAAAATAAGAACCTGCTTTCCCTTGAACCCTTCATCTTTATATAACTGAGAAGCTAAAACGATACCGCCTTCTAAGTAAAAAAGCAACCTAGGTCCAAACGACTAAAAAAAGTAGTATAGAGATTAATGAAAATAAAAAATCATTCCGATTATAAATTTATATAATAACATGTTAATATAATACACAAAAAAAATTCACAGTACGTCAAATAAAATAATAATTTAAATAGTGCAAGTTTCACCTCAATTAAGTAGCTCCATATTTCAAAACATTCGGGCCAAGCATGAGAATATGTTAAAGAAAAAAGTCCTGTTTTTTAATATTAAGATAATAGATAAATGATAATAAATAATAATAGTAAAACTTTCGAACGTGGCGACGACGTCCTTCAACATAGTTTCATTTATTTTCTGAAATTTAACAAAAGGGGTTCCTATAATAATTTAGCAGGGCCAAAATAAATATATATTTATAACAAAAAAGTTCTAATTAAAACTGTTCTAAGAAGACTCAGAATAGTAACGAAAGAAACCGGTCAATAGGGAGTGAAAGGACTGAAGAGCAACGGATAGACAAGTTGCATTCTCACTTTGAAGAGCTCTAAAAAAGTCTTTTATAATGTCCAAGTAGTGCTTACATGCTTCTTCAAAAAAAAAACTACAATAAAAAATTTAGGTAAAAATAACGAATAAATAACTTTAGGAAAAGAATAACATATAGACAACCGCAAAAAAGTTAAAAAAGCGAGGGCCAACGTGGTCATGCGAGGAACAAATAACTCAATCCTACCAATATTGATGGGCTGCCCCAAAAGCCCCTAGGTATTACAAATACAATATGTAACTTCGTTTTTCCAGCATGATTGCAAAAAGTAAGAAATGTATCCAAAAGAAAAAAAATTAATTAAATTGTATAACACTAAAAAAAAACCTGAACAATTCTCGAAAGAAGCTTGCAATCATGCTGGCAACAGGAAATAAGTTTGTTCATGATATTCAAGCAATGCTGGCCGGCGTATACATTTTCTATGAACCAATAAAAAATAATAAAAATACAAATTTAAAGCATTACAAATTTTATCTTTATAATAACTTATTTTAATTTTATATATTAGTAAGTAAATAAAATAAGACATTATTAATGGTATAACCTGAAGAGAAGATGCGGAATATAATATCAAATATATCATCAAAACTCTGATAAATACATATACATTATATATTAATAAAATACAAAATTACTAAAGCATTAATAACAAAAACGTTGCGCATAAAAACATTTAAAAGTTCACAAAAAATCCAACCTGAGAAGGTAAAAACTCTACTACGCTCTGTAAAAGGGTTAAATTATGAATTAATTTGGTATCTTCGCCGGAAAATCCTAATAAAAGTTTTTTATAGATATTTCGCCAAAGAAAGGACGCTATTGGATGCTCTTTTTGAAAATCCACAAAGGGTGTAGAAAGAATTTTATAAATCGAGTCCTGTGCTTTCCGCCTCAGCTAATATATTTATAAAATAAAGTTTAATTTTAACAATGTATTAATTATTTAAGTAAAAAAGTGGTAATAATTTTTTTAACCTTCTATATTATTATATTTTTCATGATACTAATTAAAAGTTCAATATAATTAAAAAAAGAAATAATAATTTCTAAACCAGATATTTTTTCTTATAATATTATATTAGTAAAATAATTATTTTTTTTAATATTCATGTATATTAATCAAATCCTAATATGAATATATTTATGGTATATTTTATATTTAAAATAAATATTCATAACGAATATTTATTTTTCATAAGAAATAACAATTAAATACCAACAACAATATTCGAATAAAAGAAATTAATAAAAGTAACTAAAATAATTTAAAATCATTCATTCTAATATTTGAAAAGCTAAAGGGGAAAAGAATAAATATTAATGAAAAAAATACTTTTGGACGGGGGCTCAAAGCTAATTCTACAAGAAGTTTAAAAACTCCTTTTGTCTTAACGTGCTTCCAACTTTCGGAGTTCTGTGCTACAAGTAACCCGCGCAAAATATGAACCAACTATGTACAAAAGAGTAAATGATGCAATTAAATAACCGAAATTAAAAGTACAAACAATCATTTCATTAACAAAAATCTACACGAAAATATTTAATTTTAAAAATGAAATAACAATTATAAAGAAGGCAAACGTGTAATTGTGAGTTAAATTTATTTACAATATTTTAAAAAAAAATTGTAAGAACAATTAAAAATTAACCACAAAGTAAAAAAATATATATGAACTTCACAAAAACAAGAAAAAATAACAAAGTGTGTAATATTATAAAAATTACTAAAAAAAATATAACAATTTTAAGAAAATTTTAAATATAATAATACAGTATAAAGTTTCAAGGTAAACAAATCAAAAATTCGAATTTTATAAAATGTATAAGGTAACATAAGAACAAAATAATAACAAAGTAAGAATAAAATCATACTGATTTTAACAAAGAAGTTGATCCTTTCTGATGAATTTGAAATGTTTCCGTAACAACTTGTGAACAACGCGGAAAGGTTTGCAGTAAAACTTCTGTAGGGGTTCTATAATTATAAAAATCTCAGAGACATAGTAAAGATAAGAATATAAAAAAAAACCTATCGACCACGAGAGATAATAAATAGGAAAGGGCCGCTAAGGTGGGTTCATCTTCAACAACTTTGCTTCTTTTTTCTAAAAGATTTAAGAAAAGAGCATAATAAGCTGTTTCATTCTGCTCTTTCTGACTTCCTATAACCTATAATTTAAAAAAATAAAGCTCAAAATTCCTTTGAATGGGATATGAATGAATAAATATATATTATATTATATTACGTCTCTTACGCACTGCAAAATAGCACAGAGCTTGCGATGAGAAGCCAACGGAGAATTCACAAAACGAAAAACAATTTCAAATACATCCTTAGAAGTAATATGAACAATATAAAAAATATAAAAAAAAGTAAGGTAAATATAAGGTAGTTATACACTTACTTGTAAAGTTCCTTTAACCTCTTCGGCATCTGTTAATTCAGTACTTTTAGCAAGTGTCTCTTCTAGTTGAGCTTCTTTCAAAGAAGTATTACCTGAAACGCACAAATATCATGCATACCAAAAAAAATGTATAAATAGATAGTTTTAGTTATACCAGTTGTGTTAGGAAATCTTTCGGTTTTTCGGCTTGAAGTCGTCGCTCTTGAAACTCTTGAGACTTGAGATACTAAAATTTTATGAAAACAGATAAAAAGCGATTTTATTAAAAAACTAAACTCTTGCTCCTCTCGGTTGCAAATGTTGTCGCGCTTAAACAATCAGAATCCAAAAAGTTAAATTTATAAAGCTCCCTTGCTGCTTCACGATGAGTGGCAGTAACAGGATTACTAGTTTAATTTCTTAGTATTTCATATAAATTAATATAAGATATAAACGATTATAATAACCTAACGCAACTTTGTCCTTTTTTCCAGGGTAAAGGCTTAGAAGTAGGTACTTTTACCGTCATTTATAAAGCTAAATCTACAATATTACTATAAAAATACTCACGCGCAACCCCATAACATGGTGGTAGTACATGTGAAGTTGGTATAGGCGCTGGTGAGTTACTTACGTCGACCCCACTCCACGCGGTAGTCAGTAGTTAATAATCTTAGATTTCCCACCACCCCAAACAGTGGTCACCTTCGGCGGGGCAGGAAATCATTAATTAATGTATTGAGACCTAACAAATAGAACTGAGGTAAAGTTTTTTAGGGGCATGAATTTTATTAATTATAAAATTAAATTTTTTATAGCAACGAACCACAAATTTTAATTAGTGGTAGCAATAACTTAAAATTTTTAGATTTTTATAGAAGTTCAGTGGCAATTCTCTATAAACACTAAGTGCAATCTCTGGTTTGCATTATACGTTTTATAAAACTTTAAATTTATCTACTAATTTTAGTGTTAGTGTAATAAGGGGCCTCAGGACTTAGCTCTTTGACTCTGTTATAAAGCTGCAAAATCCTTAGGTTTACCCAGTCCTGTACAAATATAATTTGCTAGCCTTTCTTAGAGTTGTTATTTAGATAATTAGTCTACTTCCTAAAAGTTTCCTTTAATAAGGAAAAAGAGATTTAAAAATCACTTTTACATAATAAGCAAGTTATACTAAGAAGGTACGATCTATTCTGACAAGTTTCTCCTTGCTGTCATTCTTATGCCAAAAATGGGAACTATCCTTTTAGCACTGCATTAATAATGTCAATAAAGCTGTCCTATAACGTAAAACTATTTTTTTTATTGCATAGAACTAACGTTAAGTTTATTTGGGTGGTTCTTGTAGATTTGATTTACAAATATATATACATTTTCATCAACAATCGAATATCTGGAGTAAAGAGGGACACTTACTTAAAGTTAGTTATAGGTCCGGATAAAATGTTAAATACATAGGCTGCCCACCTATTCATGTCATTAAAATAAACTTTTCCCGTCAATGTTATATTGCTAGAATTTACCAATTAATATTAAGCTTTACTTCTTTGTCATGGTATGCAAAGTTTTGTAACTTGTTGTGTACCACACTGTTTAACTAATAGATTTGTAACGGGGAGGTATACCAAGTAAGTTTTATTCAAATTTTTAAACGATAACCCTAATAAATATAAAAATTACTTTTTCTTTGTAATACTAACTTGGAGCATTTATAACTTGCATTGTAATAAGCTACTTTCTTGAGACTTAATCTTAGCAAAAGAAAATTTTAAAGTATTTGCGAAAGGAAGATGTGTATATTTAGAACTAGCAAATAAGTAATAAAAGTCAAATTGTATAAATATATATAGACCAAAGGGCTTGAGCCACAGACATCTTCTCGTCTGTATTAAGAGCATGTCTTTCGACGCACCAGTTAAGAACCTCCAGCTCTCCGCAGCTCATGTGAATCCTCAGCATAGAGCTGACCTCCGGCAGATTAAAGGTTTGAGCAATTATTCTTCTGGGTGGAAACAGAGAAAGGTTGCTATAACAGCTTTCTGACCAATGTAGAGCCAAATTCTTGCCCCCCATGGGATTTACCACATATATATATAATACTAATAAACAATACTCTTTAGTATCACAGCAAACAGCAACGATGTCGAGGCGCATCCAATGCTACAATACTGGCACCAATATAACTACTATCATAATTATATCATTGACTCCGGAACAGTGCGTGAGTATCGTTTGTCATACTCATTATACAGTTCACGCCTCCATGACTTTCAGACACAATGGATTAGTTTCAAATCCACTTTAGCGAGCTGAAGCAACGCAGAATTAAAAGAGATTACTTTTGTTTCTTTGCATGTTGTTCTTTGGTAGGACAATCTAATTAGAGCGTTCAATAGTTTTGTTCTACCTAAGAATGTTTACTATTTAAACTCTAGTAACATTTTGCTCATTATTTTAGTAATAAGAGTCTGATAAAATAAAAATTTAAGTCAATAAAAAACACCAAAAAAAACCGAAATAAATACAAAAATCGCCAAATATATGGCCACAGTAAGCAAGGTTATTGGATGAGAAAATTTTTTGATAAAAAAAATTTAATAACAATTACAAAAACAAAGAAGTTCATTGGTCATCTGTATTCGAAATTTTAGTATATAAAGAGATGTAACTAACTAATAAATTGACCTCTTTAGTAATTCTTCTTCCTTTAATATAAATAGAGTCAAATTGTAAAAAGAAATTTAAGAAACGAGTAATTATTGAGATGATTAGTAACAAGATAAGGATTATACGAGGGTGGTGTGATATCTTCCGGGCCTAAACAGGAAAACAAACATTTTTGGGTTGAATTAAATTTAGTTTCAACACCGCCTCCATTTATGCCAGGCTGATAAATCGATTTACCGAGTTCTTATTTTAATCGTTAACAGCATTCCTCGTCGTTCGCATTATCTCTTTCTATCAAGCCATTACTGAAAAATTCAAAATGGAAGTCGGACGAGGTTAAAGCTTGTGAGTAGGGTGGGTAGCGAAGCAATTCAAACTTTAATTGATGGAATTTAGCCCACTTTATTAAGAGTGACTTGTGAACTGGTGCGTTGCCTTGACATAACAGTATTTTCTTTTTTTGCTATTTGTGGCCGAGTTCTTTTAAACTCTTGGTATATAATTTTTCCAAAAAGTTTGCGTAATACTCCCCATTGGCCCTTTTTCCCTTTTAAGCGTAAACAATAAAAACTACCCCCTGCCCACCCCAAAAATGGTCACCCATAACCTTGGTCAACCGTTAAAACTATCTTTGGCTTTTGAGCTAGTTCTCCTTCTGCGGTTCATTTTTCCGACTATTGTTTGGTCTCAGGAGTATAATGATGAGCCCAAGTCTCCTCAATAGTAATGAATAGACTTAAAAATTCCGTTGGATTACTCTTATAGAGTGCCGAACATTTGGTAGAATTGTCCTTCCGACATTGTTTTTAGAGGCGCCAGCGCGGAACCCATCTTGCGCAACGCTTTTTCATGGTTATGTTAGTGTAAAATATTATGTACTCGTTTCTTTAAAATGCTTACTTTCTTCGCTGTCTCTCTCATTTTTACTCTGCGGAAGGTCAAAACGATTAATGGGATTATTTTCATCCGTGAAGTAGTTACTTCAATGGGTCGTTCACTACGTAGTTTGTCATTAGTGCTTGTCCGGCCTTTTTAAATTCAACAATCCAGAGTTTAACTGTCGTAATCGATGGAGTAGGGTCCCTATCTCCTTTTTAATTTCGGTTGCAATTAGATCCTTAAAATTTATTTAAATGATCGCACGAATTTTAAATTTTTGTAACGTACTAGAATTTCTTAGGACGGTCACTTTGACGGAGTTCTGTCAATCTAAGGTGACCCAATAATGGATAAAAGCAAGCAATGCCCTCATAATATTGAGTGTACTGACTCCGTAGCTATATGAGGCCCGGAATATACCACTTTCCCCTCGTAGAATATAAAACTAGGTAGTGCCATTTAGGTATACGCTCGTTATCTCAAGAAAACGAACGAGTACAAGTCATTATCTTCCTTCAATAGTAGACCAGTTTATTTATAAACAGTGCTAAGGGTCTTTTTGATATGACATAATAGAAGTTGTGTACCACATATATCTCACTTCCTTTTTTAATACTAATTTAAAAATGAAGGGCCCCTGCCCTCGTAAGGGTACTAAGAAGCGTAGATCCGCCGAAAATGTAATTCCCTAGCTTTATAAAATTATCAAATTTCCTAATAATAGGTAGAGTGGACAGTAGGTCCTTGACTGGCTGACTCGCACAAAATGCAACCACATTCTAACGCCCAAGAAACATACTCTTAACTTTAAGTACACAAGAGGTCATTGATATAGTGACACTCATATAATAAATCTTGTTTTACTCTCCGTTCTGCACGAACTTTTTACCGAATACAACCCTATTCTTATCCTAAGGGAAAAGGTCTACTATCATAAACTTCATAAATTTATTCTGATATTTTTGCTTTTTAACCGCTCCTCCTCTAAAGTTTTTATTTTTCCTTACTTACCAGCATTTAATAATAAATCAACTCATCCCTGACTAGCCCCTTTACCTAATTTTGTAAAAATTCAGCGTAATGTATTTGGGGTTTTTTATAACAAACAGTGTGGATTAACTCCCAACGCATTTAGTATTTTACTAAATTAAAAATAGTCCTCTGACTATTTTTCCTATATCTTCTCACATCCATAACCTTTCTTCTACAAGCCCTTTTTTGTTGTTTGTACAGCTCTTTCCACCATTTTATTAGCTCGATAAGGTTGATTGTCACATATTTCATTTTCGTATGCATCCGCGATTTTTTTTTGCTTGCTGTTAAAAGTTGGCTCCTATACTTAATAATTAGGCTGTCTCAATAAAAAATTTTTCCAACTCAAAGATCACATTTTCGCATTTAACCTTTTAAAAGCCCATGCCTAAACAATTCGGTTACATATCAAGATATTTGGTACACTGTCATAGACTCCACAAGGTTGGGGCATTGTTAATGTTCCGGTAACAAATCTTTAAACTGGTGTATTTATAAACTATTAGTTATATAATACAGTAAATTGTGTATTTAGAAAGAGTTATTGATGATTCAACACGGCAATGACTCATTTAATAAATCTAAATACTTCAGGAAAACCTCACGATAGCCGAAACAACAAGTTAAAAGAAAAGTTTTATTTATTTATATATTTATAGCACTGGCTTGGTACAGGCGAGATTTATAATCATTTGCTGCTTAACCCACTTTTGCTCTATTATTGAGGGTGCGGACCACAAATTCCCTAAGACTTTTGTGCCAACAAAGAAAAGGACAGATGCAGTTTAAAATCACAGCTAAACAGTACACATTAACAAAGACTTAATAGCCATTACGCGCAATATAATAGTTAATTTTTTATAACTTTATATTATATATATATATATTAAGTTAATAAAATAAACTATAATCTTAGCCATATCCCTTCTCTAATAGATCTAAGAAATATTTTTTTGACCGCAAGTGCTTGGTGTACCAATGAGAGTCATAATTAAATATCTGCGTGAATTTATAGTTGACTGTTGCGCACAAACCAAAGGACACCCACTACCATTCTCAGAACGCGATTTTGAAGTATTTGCAGTCGATATGTTTGCTTGAGGTACAGACCCAAGCGGCGGGAGCGTAACCGATATAAAAGAAACTAGTTTTTTTAGGTTTGCTTTTCATGCATAGTAAGCGATATAAAACGACTATAGCTTATCTAGTTTTAGAATCGACTTGGGAAAGATGCGGAGTCCAGCTTAGTCTGTCGACATGTATAATTTTTAGATATTTAACCTTCTTCCTTTGAGGAATAGCAGTTTGGTTTAGTGAGATAGGGGGGGTCGGGGGGAGTAAGCTCCTCATTTTTACTTTACGAAGCATTAATTACTGCCTAAAAAGCCTGTATGTTTTTAAACACCAGCTAGACAGATTTTGAACTATAATATAAGATTGTGTCATATCGGACATGTAGATAGCAAAAAGTAAAGGGATAGCAAGGAGCCTTGTAAGAGACAACCAACTTACTCTAGTAGTAAAGGTTCAATTCGCTAGGTATGAGTGTACCGCAGGTAAGTAAAAAGTTAAGTTGGCGGTAATCATTTTGTAAAGACTACACCATCTAGCCATATTTTATTAAAAGCCTTCTCAATATCTTGTTACCTTCTTATTGTTAAAAGCTTCCGTAGCTTCTTCCGTAAGCTTGAATGCCTGGTGAATTGTAGAGTAATTTTTTTGAAAACCAAATTGAAAATTAAGACGCAAATGCTATCCTTAAAATCTTGTAAACGAGAAAGGATAACCGCTTCTGCCCCTTTTCCTAGGCAGGACAACAACCATATCAGGTGATAATTTTTAATAAAACGGTAGAGTGCTTATTTTAAATAAAAATTACTGCTGCTAATTTTTACCGTTTGGGGAAGTAGGAAGTGGTAAGTATTTGATAATTAATTTTGAAATCAGAGAAATAACTGGTGGAGTTAAGTTCTTAAGCATTAAATTAAAAATACCGGCGGGACCTGAAGCTTTTCTTGTATTAAGGAATTGGATAATAGTTTTAAGTTTTGCACTAATGGTGCTTAACCTTGTACATATGTTAGGTCTTAAAGGTAAGCAGTAACTATGGTGGACACGTGCTTTAAATGGTGTGCATTTGTCGGCGGGCTCTGTCATAGGCGAGTAAGCTTCCAATGAGCCGGCAGTGCCTCCACTATTTCGGAGGGCGTCTCGCCGAGCGTCCAGCGCCATAAATAGGCGTTGTTGTGTTTCTATTCTCAGTATATTGAATGACCTCGTTAATTTCCGTAGGGGGCCATTCTTTGGCCCAGAAGACTAATTTATTCTGCCAGTCTCGTTATACCAAGCTTTCAATTCCTCCTTAACTCGAGTGTTGAGCTTGTTGCAAAGTATTGTATCGCTAGGAAACAAGAGTTCATATATCTTGCTCTCAACTTTCGCCTTGATATGATCTGGTAATGCTGTTTTTTGCGTTCTTCAAATGAAGTGGGCCTACTATAGGCCTCCTTTATAGCTCCATCCATTTAACAACAACCGTGTCTAACCCAGGGCTTTCTTAAAGGTGTGCGTTATAATTTCCATGCTTTTGTCTATATGATCCGGAAATGTTGTTAGTGACCTTTTTAGCCCAAGTAACCAAGGCTGACTTATCTCTTATCTCTATGAGGACGGAGTTATAATAAAAAGGGAGTTCATACAGCGTAATGACAATGCAGGTACGTATATATTTTGTGTTACGGTAATATCTAATGTCACAAGCCCCTATGACGGGGTGATACGTTGGGTCCTTCGGGCCAGTAACAATTAACCTTTCCCGTTGTCTACTTCAGGAAATCTCTTTCCATTGGCTTTCCCCCGTATGCTATTTCACAAAGGGTTTTTCCAGTTTAAATCTCCAGCTGTTAAGCTGCTGGAGAACCGCAAAAATCTTATCATCCAATCTACGCATAACCTTTAGGGCGATTTATATTAAGAAATTATATCGACTTCCTAATGACGGAGCTCTATATTTACGTTGACAGCTTCTAAACCTAGCAAGTATAAAAATAGAGCGCTTGCTGGGTAGCGTTTCTTTTAGTTAAGATAGCTACGCCTCCTCTCTAGTATTTTCGCTGCCGCTTTTGTAAACAGAATATTTAGGTACTTTAACTCGGTCACTCTCCTTAAGATGTGTTTCAGAGATGAGAATTATGTCCAGGCCCATGCGGTCGATAAGTTCTTGTATTTTTTTAAAATTATCAACTGCAAAGTGTTCCGCAGGCCCTTTAGTCGTTATTTACGAAAACATTTTTTCTTTAGACTTTTAACTTCTGTTATAAGGTCACACTGGCAACTTTTTACCTTTAAACATCGCTGTGTCAGTTGTGGTTGTATGCATAACTTTTTACTAAGAACAGATAATTTGAGAACATAGTAGATTATTATGGCTTTACTACATATAATTTCAAAAAAATGTCTCCTTTAGAAAGAAAGGAAATATTTCTCTCCAAATAACCAGGACGCTACGGGCGTTAATATGTCCAAATTCTCTTTAACCAAAATAAAATGCCCATTTTAATTGAATGTCTAGTTAGTCTTTTCGTATCTCAGGTTTAAGCTAAGAAAGAGATAGTTAGTACCTTTATTTTAACTATTACCAATGCTTTGTTTAACCAGCTTAATTTTACTTATGAGCACAATCTATGCTGTCTGGAAGCTAAGGTTCTATTAAGGAACGCTAACACTATTATGAAAGGGAGATAATCTACGGGAGTTACATACGCGTTTAAATCGACATTTAAAATAAGTTCAAACTCAGGCGCTTACGTTTAAAAAGAAAAATCCGGGCACGACAAAAATAATTAATAACAGCACTAATGATAAAAGAAATAACTAAACATTATAATCATTTAATATACGGAAATTGTAAATTGATATATGTGGTAATTTGTTTTTTAAAATGATAAGTTTAAACTTCAGGGGTTACAGCTAACTTGACTAAATTTATGTATTCTCGTCTTGCCTCTATGGTCCATCGCTGAGTAATCTTAATATCAAATTTTATATAAATATATAGGTGTATTTTGCAGTTAAAAATATAATTAACAAAACATTGCTTTCCGTTCGAGTATTTAAGTCATTAGAGGCGCACGCTACTAGAATTTATATGCAACTGTTGATTTCGGTAGGACTGCTTGCTTTTACGTGTTTAACCTGCCACACGACTTTTTTCCTGTTCATTAACATTATTGGTTAACTACTTTCTTAGGGGGGTAATTTTAGTTTTCAAATGCTGTTTGGCATAATTTAGGGGTCTTCGGAAGGGATTTTTTTGTGCAAGCTAAAATTTAAATTTAAAATCTGAACATTTCTATATTTTTATAATTATGTCTCTATATGGTGGAGTTTATGATGACTTACCTTCAACTGTTGTCAACCTAAAAGGTACTGAGAACAATCTTTCTTCTCAACAGAGCAATGCAGAGAATCAAATTAAAAAAGCAGGTTTACTGTTTTTATTAATTATTGAATCCCCTTCTTATAAAAATTTTATATGTAACAAATGTAGTACAGTACAAGTCTACCCTTCAGTTTATGGCACCAAAAATAAAAAGAAAACTTACCTCTACTAACACCACTATTTTAACAAAAAAAAAGCAAGTTCCTCATAACCATATAAAAACTATTATCAACAACTCAACTCTTGTAATTTTTTATAACTACTTTTAAAATTATCTTGCAAAGCACTTGGTATTTTATTTTTGCCGTTGTAGTTGCAGCATAACGTTTCGCTGAGCACAGATGTTGAAGAGCCCTTTTTAACTCCTTCCACTGAATTTTCTCTACCTCCGGACGTGGAAGTTTATGATCCTTTTCGCCCTAATAACTATGAAGTCTTTATATTTATTTTAGATATTATTTTATAAAGTAGAATTTAACATCTACTTTACTTTATACCCTTTCTTCCTATGATCTAAAATATAATTAATAGGATTACTTACTAGAAAAAGAGGCTAAATTAAGGGCAGCTCGGGAAAGCGAGCGCCTTGGAAAGGAGCGTAAGCGGCAACTTCGTCGCGCTCTCCGGCAATCTAAAGTTTTGAGTAGCAAAGATAACAAAATATTTAAGGAATCTACAATTAAAGCCGAAGTAAAAGATGATGCTAAGATTGCTGAAGAAAGCTTTAGCCGTCCTTCCGTTCTTCAAAGCGATCCAGTAAAAATTAATTTAAATGAGACAGCGGAGGAAGCTATTGCTAGGCGGCGACAATTGTCTCAAGGAGGAACCCCTTCGACAAACGTCGAGACGCTTAATAAAAAGGGAGCTGTCCAATCCTCCGCCATGAAATCTAACAGTTTGTTCACTCCTGTTGTATTGTTAGAGGTTATCTACGCCTACAATAGTTGTAAACTTTTATTTACTATTTATAATACCCTTTAACAAAGTTTTTTCAAGTACTTCTATTGGTATTATATATATATTAAAGAATATGGTTGGGCCCGGAGAAGTTGACAACGATTTGCAACCAGAAATTTCCGAGGAATGCGCAAGATACGGGAAGGTTGAAAAGTGTCTAATTTTTGAGGTGTTCTGTTTTACAATAACTTATAATTCACTTAAAATCACTTTATTTTTTGTAGATAAAAATTCTTTATAATAAAACCCGTTTGAGTTTTTTATATTTGTAAATAATAATCTCATAAAATTTATTATTTAGCGATAGTAAATTATATTTTCCCGCCGACTAACTACTTTTTTAGCTTGTGTTAAAGCGATCACGTTTTTTTTGCAACTTTTTTGTTATCAGTTATTAAAAATTTTAACACTAGAAGAATCCTTTTTTTATTTTTAAGACTTAAGAAGCCTACAACTATTAGTTCTCTATAAGCTCACCTTAAAGCGTGGATTTTAGAAAAAATTTTTATAAACGACTGCAGACAGCGGACCTTTAGTTTTTTATGTAAACTATAGGCTTATTGTGAACTTTATTTACTATTGTTACTCTCCTTTTTTTATTAACACTTCAGTTTGCTAGTCTTAAACTAGAAATTTTGCCTACTTCTTTAGATTTATTAACATCAGTTCTAATATTTTAAAGTACGTTTTTAAAAATTTTGTAATTAAGTTTTGATTTTATATGTTCTTTATCTTTTTACTAAAGCTTTATAGTTTACCTTACTTTTTCCCTTGTTTTTTTGCAGCTTGTGTTTAACTTTTTTTATATTCCTATAATATTCTTAAAACAAACTTTCTAATGTCTTTTAAAAAAAAACCCATTTGATGATCCCTTAGTAAATATTATTTGTTTGTAAAAACTAAGTTTTTATAATTATTTATAACTGGTTGTTTTTTTCTTACTTGTATATACTTTTATTTACTGACCTTTATATTAATTTTTTTGATTTTTTTGAGGTTCCAAAAGGTCAAATCGCAGATGATAAAGCGGTGCGCATCTTTGTAGAGTTTGGGGATGTAGACGCCGCTAAGAAGGGTCAGTTTATTTTTATTGATTATTATTACTGTTAAAAAAAAATTTCCTGAACATTTAAAATTTTGCTTTTTTATTGGTTTATCATCAAACGCCCGTGATGAAGTCTACACTATAATTGGCGTTACTTTGCGCCAGCGATATAAATAAATAATAAAAAGGGTCACTCAAAGAGTGTGCAATTGTGAAAATTTGTGGTTAAAAAAAATGTGCTTATTAGAACTCATATTATTTATAATTATTTAAAGATTTATATTATTACTTTTTAGTATATTTATACCAAAAATTTAACAATTTTTACTAAATTCTGTAGCGTTTTTGGCTCTTAACGGAAGATTCTTTGACGGCCGAAAAGTTCGGGCTTCCTTTTTTAATTTTGACAAATTTAAAAACTATGAACTTGCACCAAATGTTGAATAAATTTTTTATTAGTATTATAAATTTTTTTATAAATCTCCTTTTTAATTATATAAATCTTCATAGATATTATTGCTACGGTTCGAATGCCAAACTGTACGTTTACATTTTTAATATCTTAAATAACTTATGACTAAAAAATTAGTGTTAAACTTTTTGCAGAGCAGTTTTTAGAGAGAGAAAAGGGGTAAGGATTAGAGTACGCTGTACACAGTCATTATATCACGTGGCCTGTTACAGTTAACTTATAGAAGAAAAATATTATATAAGGGGTATTTGATAGTGATTTTTTTTTTAAATATAGTTGTCGACAATTTTTTTTTAATACGTGAATTTTAAGGAGCGACAGACGTATAGATGATAACAATAACAAGAGAGCGTTATTAAATTTTTCTTTAAAATTCTTATCTTTTTTCTCGAGGGGGTTTTGCTACGGCCTTTTGGTACTTAATTTCAAAGTTACACTTACAAACAATTAGAAAGTAATAAAAAATAAATTTCCTTGTTTATTTACCACTAAATTAACAGAGTCCTTAACGGAAACCTTTAAATGTCATACTTTATATTTTCAGTAATTTAGGCCAACGGCGGCGAAACACTATTATAATAAAAAGAACAACCAAAATAACGAGAAAACCCCTACAGCAGGTGTTTTATTGGACGGTACATTTATACACATGCCAGGGAACAACCATGTAAATACTGCAGGGGCGCTTACAATAAACGAACTACCTGTTGTCAAATGAACTGGGAGGTACTGCCTCTATAAAATAACTTTGATTAACTAGAAAAAGGTGTGCCTATAAAAAGTTATAACGTATATAATAATATTATTAGAGATAATAAATCTTTAAAGACCTCCGTGTTAAAAATATAATCATCAACGTTATACGGAAGCGAGTTTTCATAAGTAGCAAACAACAAGTATAGATATTTAAGCGTCTCAGCAAGAAAATATGAGTCCATCCTTTAATAATTACCGGTTATTAATTTCCAGTTTGAAAGAATAATAGTAGTGCTTTCTTATAATAAGCCAACCTGTCCTCTTTGGTTATACTCTCGATATCACTTAAAGTTGCGAAGCCACATGTCGTTTTACATCTTTCTATACTTTTCAAAATTTGTTTTCCAACTTCAATATAAAACACGCTAATATATAGAAGTAATTAAAATAAACGTAGTACTTTTCGGTATAAACAAAATTCACAGAGAAACATAATATGAGCAAGGAAATGTTACCATTGAGCTATCTTTATATAATATTACAATATGGCATACTTTTTAGTGGCTTTATAAAGATAGTAGGTGCTTTCAATAAACTCGGGCCTTAAATAATAATTGGAATCACGAGCAGTGCCGTCCGACTTAAATAACTGAATACATCCAATTAAACCAAATTAAAAGTTAATCTATAATGAATATAAAAAATATTCGTAAATGACGAAGAAAAAGAGAAAAAGCAAGAGTTTACTGTCTCGCAGAGGAGGGTAGACACGTGGTGTCAAATAGAAATACGAGTGGTACAGATGTGTGGTAAAATGACATGGTTATATATATCACGTAGTACGAGCACGTTAAACATGAAACCTTACCAGTAATTGTATATATACAACAGAAGTTTAAAATAATCATTTATAAGAAAAAATGAATACATAAAAAAAATTCTTTTTTTTTACGCCGACATATACATATAACGACCTCGGGAATATAAAAATTGTTCTTCAAGAAAACATCATAATAACGCTGATAAGAAATAATTGCGCCTTCCAAATCTCCAGCTAACGCCTAGTAACTGTAAGTAAGAATAATAATAAGACTTAATGTAGGAACTTGAAGGCCGGGCCAAAAACAGCCTAGGTGATCCAATATATCTCCTGGATGAGGATGCTATAAATTTATATAATAATAATAATAATAATAATAATAATAATAATAATAATAATAATAATAATAATAATAATAATAATAATCACCGGAGATTGGGCGTTTACAAAGAAGAACTGACCATTCATAGAAGTTTTATTAACTAAAGCAGCATAAAGCTATTGATAAAAATATCATTCGCATAAAAAACATTAACCACTAATACTTATCCTAAAGCAGCACAATAATAAGTTTTAAAAACATAAAATGGTACTTCTTTAAATTGTTCATAAAACTTTTTTTCTTGAAAAACTGCCCAGGACTTAAATAAAGTTTCATAATAACTATCAGATTCAGCACCTATACCAGACTCTAATTGTAATATTGATAATAATAATAATAATAACAGCAATAACAATAGCAGTTATATTATACTATAAGAAACAACGGCTCCCGTTACAACGTGAAAAGCGGAAGGCACCAGAGAGTACGAAGTTTTATAAGAAAACAACGTATTCATAGTCTTCGAAACAGCGTCCTATCATTCGTATAGACAATATACAACGAAATCCCATTTGTCCCTCAAAAATCACGTGCATAAAACTCTGATCTTCTGGATAGATGCGAGAGAGTGGCGAACTCGAGAAATAGAGAGCCCGCACAGGCCAAGCACGTGACCGGGGAGTGGGTAACAACTGTTTTGGTTTTCAAATTCACCTTTAAAGTAGTATAATGATGTATTATTTTTATTCAATAAAATCAAAATTCTCTATCTAGCGTACATCACTAACATAATAAACTTATAAATAATTTAAGGAAATTACATAATTACGTAATTAGCCAAAAAATAATTAAAAAAATAGTATTCTATAAGTTTAATAAAACTATACGATAATAATTTTCTTTAAATTTATAATTTCTTCACTTAAAAATATTTAAATCAAGCATATAGAGAAAAAACATAAGTAAAACAAATAAAAATAGAACTTTTGGATAAGGAAGACCAGTTGGTGTATTAAAAGCAACCAAAAGACGTTCTCCAAGATCCAAAGCATGCGCAAGTAGCCCGCCTTCCAAGAAAAAAAAATATACATATTCAGAATATATTTAAATAAAAAAAAGTTTACGTAAACAAAATAATGAGAATAACAAATAAAATTAATTTAAAAAAGTTAGAAATAATTTTTTAACGGTCAACATGTTAATTTTGTAACAGTTGCTTAAAAAAAATCTTTTCAGTTTAAAAAATATAAAACTTAATGTATTTACACAATAAAATAATTACTATATATGAATAACATGATACAAAGTTACCATTATAATCGTTGAATATTCCCATTTCTTTTAGTTTTAACGAAATAACATGGGAAGAAAGAAGGCCTCCTAAAACCCTTATAGTGACCTTTTTTCCAAAAAAGAAAGACAGTAATTAAAAGAAGCATCGCAAGATTATTTATTTTCTAGCGTACAATCTAATAACTTGTTTACTTTTTAGAAAAACTTAAAACCTTTACAAAGCTAAAAAGGCTCACGAACTTATGCTTATAAGTTTATTACTATAAGCTACTCACTTAAATGATTTGATTTTAAGCATAAATTTTTTCTTTGAATTTTGAATAAAATTCATAATACACACAATACTTTTTAAGGAGATGTAAAGCGCCCAGTAGGATTGCTAAAACTATCTTAAAGAATTTACCACGGACAAATCTTTCTCCAGTGCAAAAGCACATTGCTGGTGTTATTTAGTTTATGTAAAATAAAAAAGTTTGTTAATATATGAGTAACACTTTAAGCGAAAAGTAAAAAGGATTCACAAAGATCGCAAGAATTGCTAAGGCAAAAAGGTAACGAAATACTCAAAGTTGATACCAAACTACCTAAAATTATGTACACAAAAACTCATAATTCTAAAAAAATAGTGGCCATAAAGTATAAGCTTTAAATTAGACATAAACATGTTTTCATCTACACTATAAATTTAAATATAAAGAGTTTATAAAATTTAAATTTTAAAATTATAAAAATATAAAATTGAATAACATCAGTATAGTAAAACACAGAATATTTCACTAACAAGAAAAGCATATGAATATATCTTTTCCTAGAAATGCAAATATATAAAGTGCTATGGATCTTTCAATTTGAGACGGAGACTAAAAAAATGGGTGACAAGGAAGGGTTACAAATAGTGACATACAGAATATAACGTTGACATTCCTTTATGATATCTTTTCTATTATTAGTTAAATTATTGCTATTAAAAAATCAATACACCAGTGTTACCGTAAGTTATAACTCTGTATAAATTTTAATAGCAACAAAAAAAAAAACTTTATAAAAGTTGACTTAATTATATAAATTTCCTAACATAACTTATTAAAAATACTGCTAAAGTATTAATAAAATTTGAAAAACCTCAAAAACTGAAACTATTAAATTTGTATCATAACGGGTATTCTTAAGAACTAAGTTTACTCCTTCCTTAAATTTATCATAATGTCCCATTACCTAAGTGAAATAAAAATTAGTAATTACCAAAAAATTAAAAGTTATAGAACTTTAATAGTAAAGTATAAAGTACATAAAAAATAACTATATAACTATATAATAAGAGATATATATTAACGGCTAGTGTGTCCAGGCCATCAATTAGTGTTAAAGAGAAACTAATTAAAAAAAATAATTTAAGTTTTTAAAAACAAATGCTTTAAAGCAATTAACATTAAATATATATAGTAAAGCAGTAAATTGTTTCCATGTAAATTAAAAATTTAAAAAAAAAACAACCAAAAATAAAGCTATATTTAAATATAAAACATACTTTCCCATACAGGAATCTAACTCTCCTCTACTCGAGTCGCGGCCTCTACTGCGACCTTCACACGAAAGCGGTTTTAATTCATCATCAGGGTAGGAATAGTTCTGATCATATAGTTTAGTAAGTAAAAAAGTTAAAATATATAATATTAATAGTAAACAGAAAAGGAACCATGTACGAGTCATAAGCAAACAAGAACAGTTCAGAGGCTTGCCTGCTGTAAGATAGGCCCGTGTTTTGCTCGTTAGCTATAGGGCGAGCAAAAGAGATTGCCCAACACAACACAAATCCTACAACCAAATATTTTAAATATAAAAACGTCATAACCTATCACTGATATAGAAATATATAAAAACAAACTAAGATTAGTGCATCTAATCTAAAGCTAATATAATTTAGTAAAATTACCATGTGCGTGTATATAATTCCCAAAATTTCAGCGGTAAGCTTTTGCTAAAGATATCGCCCTACTGGTCTACGCTACTTACAAAAGTCGCAGTTTGTGCTGCTGTAAAGGTTGCAAAAATTTGTTGATGGCAAAACCTTATCCTAGCTTAGCAATATGGGTTTTAGGAAAAGCCCCTCTACCACTTTCCAATCTTAAGGTTGTGGAAAAACAATTAATGCCCTTAATTACAAGAAATCCACTGTTATAATTTTTTTAGACATCCAGAATGCTTTGGGCAAGATGTGGGATAAGGGGTCTTAAACATAAAATGATAAATTTGTATTATTGCATACTTAATACGAATAATAGGGTCATACCTCGGCAATAGACCCTTCATGGCCCGCGTAGGAACAGAACTATCGGATTTAAAAACTACTTAATCCTGGGGCCCTTATTGTCTATTTCTTTCTCATTATACATGACCCGGATCTAAAATTTAAAAAAAAAATTTCTAAGGTAATTTTCTATTTCGGTTTTTACGTTTTAATTAAGGTTTTGAAAGTAGCATACTTTCTAAGAAGTGAACCCTCCAGCATTCCACTCACTTGGGGGAACGTAGGTTAAGCAGCTTTAAGTTATTTTACTCGTAACGCCAGTAGCATGCCCGTGCGATAAATAAATAAATTTAAAAGCTTTTGCTTTCTAGTTGCTGGCCACTTGTTCCTTGTTCCTTAGTAGACGTAATTAGTCGGTTTATAGAGTTTGCATACCGTTTAGTCGATTAAGTCAAACTATTCTACTTTTACAACATTATATAAACCCTATTTCACTCCAATCGTATCGAATATTTATTTTATGCATAAAAGACTAAGAAAAACTTATGAAATTACTAGAGGGACAATCCACTCCACCGGACCTTTTGCCACTTTAATTCTCAAGGTGACGACCATGAGGTTTAATTACATAACACCCGTATACTTGCACAACTCTAAAAACTATATTAAAAATAATTATATTAGCTTTAAGGTGATTGATATAGACCACATTCCTCAATTGCCACCACCAACAGCTTTACCATAGTTTGAACACGCACTGCTAGCTGTTTTGAGGTTTCCTGGTATGTTTAAATGTAGCTGTTGCTACGAATCTAGCATGCGCCCCTATGGTCATTTTCTTTGGATATTCTTATGTTGAATGTGACCAATGCATGATAATATTATGATATGCGTCTTTAGCTCTTAAAAAGATAAATAACTCCCAACCTTAGGGAGGAGGGAGCTGATTCTGCTGCCTTCTTTATAGAAGCGCCTGTCCCATGTTTTTTTTTTTAAATTACTTTTAGTTCTGTTTCTATTCTAAGGCCTTTTCTTAAGTTCTATTTTTGCTTTAGCACAGTTTTAATTAATTACGCATTAACCCACTCTTTCCTTAATACCTTAGCTCTGCTAACTATTTTTGATCAACGTTAATTAGTTTACTTTTTTGTTTTTCTACCTTTATTATGTATTTTATATCTTATAAGGCCATCTTTTGGGCACTAATTATCGTCAGAAAACCTTATGAGCACCAGTATCATAATGGCTACTTTAGGTTTGCAACGTCTTAACTAAGTATAGTGTGTTACATGCACAATTCACTTTATTACTATTATCGATGATTTTTGTAGAGGCAGAGTGCCCTGGAGCGCAGACTAATTAATTTACACCATATTACTAGTAACATTAACAAGGCAGATCTATTTCCAGTTCAGCACAAGCGTCTTGGTTCCAGGAAGAAGAATAAGAGAAAAATAAAGGAAAGAAATGTGCCTATAGCGCATCCTGCTTCGCAAAAGCTTATTTTAATTAAATACCTTCGACAAGAACCGCTTCCATTTATTTATTAGGCGCTACCTGGCAGCTGCAGATATTACCTTTTAGTTAAAATTACTTATTTTTTTACTTTTTAAATAAGTCTTATAAATGAGATTTCTAGGCAATTGTAAACTCGAAAAATTTTGTAACATTAATTGAACATATACAAAGAATTATATATGTGCTTTTCGTAAATATCGTAATGATACCGCCCTTTGCATCCTTTCTTACTACTAAAATTGGTTTTTGAAAAACTACGCACACGTAGCCACGAGGATCAGCCGTGGTAAATCAAATCCGCCCATTAAACTGCGCCCGAATGCTCCAAATCTGTGTTATTCACCTGTGACTGGCAAGATGCTTTTACCCGACTCTACCACTACACAAATCGGGGAATTTCCGTTGCGTGAGAGCGGGAGCAGAACGCATGATGCGACGAGTGTAGACGAAGAGGTAGGTCGCCCAAACCGAAAGCAATTATTGCGTCAGCTTGCATGGTAGGGTATTACAAGAATTTTCTTTTTATCGCCCTCGTGTGTATTGTTTTTAATATTGTGTTGCGAAAATATAAAAAACTTAATGTTTTTGGTAAAATTTGAGACCCTACAAGATGGATTAAAAAGATCAAAAATTAAAAGTTTTTTTTAATGGAGGCAAACAAAATATTCAGAAGAAAATTAACGTTGATGCCGAAAGTATGCCAAGTAAGAAAATACTTTATGTTTAAAAGAAAAAAAAGAAAGGGATAAATCTTTATACCTCAGAAGTGCTATAAAAACCAATAAGAGAAATTTTTTTGTTATGCGTTACGATAAGGAATGATTATAGCTTGGTTTTATTGTAGCCCCTGACAATGAAATATCGCCAGTTCTTTTAAATGGACCTATGAAATCGTCCATACTAGCTCGCCTTTACATTTGCATTTGATTTTACTGATAAGTCACTGGGTTTTTTAAAAATTACGAGAGCAGATGAAACTTCAAAAAAGTCATATGAATATGATCAGGAAATGAAGGTAGTTGCTTTAAGAGCCTTATTTTGTTCCACTTCGAATAGCTAAATCTATAAAACCGTTGTCATTGGTGGAGAGTTGGTATAGCCTAACATTCGTAGATAGCTTACCAGAAATTATGGGGTCTCATAATGACTTCAAAGAAGAACTTCTTCGTTGCCTTCATTTACCTGTACGGGCTACTAGTTCAGGGACATTATATTATTGATAACTATTTGAGGCGAAAGACTTAGACTTGAGCAAAAAGGTGAGTGGGTGCGAACGGTGCCATGAGCTTTACTGGTCGTCGCTAAGAAGTAGTTGCGTAAACAAAGAAAGATACTCGGCAAAAACAAGAGCCCCTTCTTGGACTGAATACTGTGATGAATGACGCGGTGAAGATTATAATTGAAATTTGTAGTCGTGCTACCAATTTAAGAATGTTCACGTCACGTCATTATGAGAGTATGGATTCACATGTTCTTAGAAGTGGGATGCTTACCGAGGGGAAGAGTTCTTGTCCGTCTGTTTCTTTAAGGGGAAAAGTAAAATCATTTTCTGCGGGTATCAAAATTGACCTAATTACGCATTTGTTGAAAGAAGATTGAGAAGGTTAGCTATTGTATGTGGCGGTTATATATAACCTTCTGAATTAACTTAATATTTCTCTTTAAGAGCCTTGTACCAATATTTTCTCGTTAAGAAACTGGACGCTAAAAAAAAAGCTGGCTTTAGGATAATCGTGTACAAAAGGAATATAAAATAGTTCATAGTTTGAAAGAATTTTTAACACAGCAAGTCAAGAGTTAAGAGCGTTACCCGAAAACTTGAAAACTATATTCCTGAATTTGAAGATCCACGTAAAGAAAAACTATGGGTGTATAACCCCCCTCTATTGTAAAAGCATGCACACTTGATCCCCTTAGGAAGAAAAACTGGTCGATCTAATGTCACTCTAGAGTCCAGACGTAAATAGCAATCATTGTCTCTCAATTTTGGATATCCCTCAACAAAGAATTATTATCACCTTTGAGTTTTGAAAACTATTAAAAATTGTACTCATGCGTGTGAGAAGACTTTTTTAAATAGATAAGTAATAGAAATCAAATAGAGAAATCGAATGGATGTCAGTGCAGCCCTTCAATTTATAAAAAACGCTGCAACCGCATCCATCACATTTGAATATAAAAAGGACCAGCAGACATCGCCTTAACAGAAAATTTAATTTTTGTAAATAAATTTTTAAAACTATTGTTTTTTTTATTTCTTGCTGATGCCTGTTCGTAAAATATGTTTTCTGTTTTAGCTGGATCGCAGGTGTGAAAAGGTTGGAGAACACTGCTTTAACCCACTGAGCTGAGGAACTCCTACTTGGAATTTTTTATATATTGTTACTCTCTTCGCTTTTTGTAGTAACATCCACCGTAGGGATTCAGGATGGTTTCTACTCGAGCTAGGTAGTTATTAAACTACTTTGTGTTGAATAACCACCATAAATAGGGAAGAAACATAACTTTACTCGTTTGTTTAGTTCCACTTTGGTAGAATGATCTGAATATCATTTCTAGAGTGGTAATTAGTTTGGTTCTACCAAAGTTGAACTATTTATCATTTTTACCATAGTTAACATCTGGACTCCGCTCTTGACTTTGAGTATTCTAGTGCTTATTTTCTAGCCTTAACGAGTAGTCTATAGTTCTGGACAGTGATCTTATTTAACTTCGTTGAAGTAGTAAATCCTTTAACTTTATACTTTGCTACCTAAATATTAATAGCTTCCTCTAGCAGATCTATTATAATTTTTATTAATATATAAGTTATTAATATATTATATTTTTATTAGTGCTTCTACCTAAACTAAATTACTTTAATCTTTCTTCTGTGTCTCTTATTTACCTTGATAGAAGCACTGTTTTCCATCTTTGGAGCGTCTTTATTGATTATTAAGGCCTCCAAAATATCGTATATAGAGAGCTAGTTAGTTAACTTACTCTCGTTGCTCACTTTCTCTCGTGCGCTTAACTTTGTCTTCTCCACCGGCGCACGAGCTTGTGACGCAACCTCAATTTGACTGCGACTGCAGCGGGTAAGGCCTTAGTTGTTTGATAGTTTAACACTTTGGCTACTGAATAGGCCGCCGATCTTAGTGGGATCTTTTGGCGCGCGAAATAGCGAGAGTACACATCATGTTCCCTCTTGACCTGTGTGCCCTGGATCGTTGGCTGTATATCAAAGCTTTCGTCAAAATTAATATACACTCTTTGTCTTACCATAGATTACTGTTCCGTCTGGCAGTTTAACTTCGTAAAAGTGACCAAAAAAGATTGGTTTTATATATTCAAATTCGCGTCCAGCGTTTGGATATTCTTATAGGCTTCTTGCGGGTTTCGATCTAAAGCGGTCGAGTAGTTGCCATCCGAAGGTGGATTGCAACGTAAATGTAGATTCATCTTAACTTTGGTCTTGTCACCCTCTACTATTCTAAAGCGTTGGCAATGAAACTCCTGGAAACCGTTTGCTGGGCGTATTTTCATTAACCCCAGGACACGGCTAGTTTCCGAGTTGAGGCTTGGGATCATTGACTAACTACTTATAAACCAAAGAATCGTGATTATCGTACCTTCCTTATCTAAGCACTGAATTCAGGGTTACGTTTTACTTTGGAAAGCTCTGGGTCCTTTTGGATCCTGTTGAAAAACATGCTTTTAAACTTGGTAGCAACCAAGGGTTGGATAAAGTCTTGAAGCAGGTAAAATCGTATTTGTAGGACGTACATTATCGTTCCATCATCTCATGCGTGCGACTAGACTTGTATAGTTCTATCAAATGACTTCATAGTTAAATAAAAATACTTTAGCTCCACGTTGAGTACTAGCATTGCCTGCCGAAGCAAGTTTTCAATCTAATTTGCCTAGGCAGAGCTGGTAGAGTCAACTCATACTTTTAAATCGATTGACAAAATCAGCTAAGTTGCTAGATTAAGCTTTCGTGACTGTTAGTACCAAAGGCGAACGCAGACGAATGGGCTGGTTTAGTAATGAGTGATGTTTTACTCTAGACAACCTTGTTTCCGAGGATGCAAGCGTAACCAGACTTGTCCTATTGCGCATGTAATAGTATTAGTGCTATGTATATATATAGTGGTATATTTGTCGGCGCAATCTTGTGTTATTTATACTATTCTATATATATATTCCGCGCCGCTCCCAACACTTCACATCCTACAAATATTATTCAAGGGCTCTGTAATTATTTATAAATTGCTATGTAGATGCACACCTTTTACAATTTCTCATACAACAAATTCAGTGTTAAATAACTTAGTAGACTTTTATGGCAAAAGGTATAGTAATCGGTGGCATATCCTCACTATAACAACTTGAAATATTATATTTGAAAGCACACTAATTTAATGCTCTAGACCAATGGCATATAATAAGAAAGCTGTCATAAATCAAAAAAGGAAAAGAAGTACGAAGGGAAGGACAAAGAATCCAACCAACAAAAAGTTATATTACTAGCCCCAGTTAAACTGGTTTATTACCTCTCATTAGTGCTGTTTGTACGTAGCATTCTTTATATTAATGACCCTTGTTTGCTGGTCTAATTTTTCTTACATGTTTAAAGCGGGGGTAAAAGGTTAAATGTCTTGGATAAGAAACTCTATCAAATAGTTTTTTTAATAGATCGCGAGTTAGCATTTCTCGATTAGTGCACCTGGATTTAGTAAAATTATCTTTTTTTATTACTTCTAACAGTCCAGTTAAAGTTCTAATTATTTTGAATCTCTTCTGTATCTGTTTCTTATTACATGCATCTTCACAGCGAACAACACCTTAGTAGACGTAATAACGCCACAGTACTACTTAGTATATTACTCATAACAGTTTAATAAGAATAAAGCTGCCCAAAGTTTTTTAATCGACCTTTCTAGCCATATATTATAAACCATTTCATTAAACTTATAAATTTTTAGTTTAAAGTTGTCAAATCTCTTACA